AAACATAGCACCATTCAAAACCAGAGTGCTACAGATTGTCACAATATCACACTCACTACTGAGCCACACAAAGTCACAGTTCCCCCCTCCCCAGGACCCCTACTGAGCACTACACACAATCACACATTCAAAATAACACAATGACCATTAGGACGCACATATCGTCACCCCGGCACAATTACACGCACTTTCCAACCGCAGACACAGTGCCACATAAAGTTACATGGTCACACTCTCACATTCTCACGTTGTCACTCAGTAAGGCATCCAGTACACTTAAGCGCTGCTAACAGTCATACAAACACAATTACACACGCACCCCTCAGAGTAACACACAGTCACAGCCTCATCATCAGATTCTCTCCACACAAACACCCTCCACAATGTCACGCAAAGTTACACAGACACACACAATCACAGTCCCAACACGGGACACAGTCATACCTACACACACAGCCTTACATTGTTACAATCACACAACCACAACGAGTATATAAAACCACACCCGCGCACACAGCAAGGCACAGTTACATAAGGTAACACTCACACACGTAAGTCCACGCCTCGCGCCCGCCTCCCCCCTACCCTCTTCATCAGCCCGACCAACTCATACATGCCCGACACTCCAAACCAGCCTGGTCATTCCCTTCAAACTCCCAGGCACGCACCTGCGGGCCCCAGCGGAACCCGCAAGACCCAGGCCGCTCACCGCGCACTTCCCCTACCCTTGAGGCCGAGGGTCCAGCAGGCAAATGAAACGGCTGCCTTGGACTCGCGGGGATCTCTGGGAAATACAGTCCGGAGTAGGACCGCGCGGAGAAGATGGCGCCCGGTCCTTCGGGTTCCTGCTGCTGCACAGTTCCGGGACATCCCTGCTCCCTACTCCGAACGGCTACTCTGCGTCTCCGTGATCCAGACACAGGCTCAGAGTGAAACTGCCATAGGACGCTGGCCCTGCACCCTGAAGACAATCTTCCTCCATGGTACCGGCCAACCCCAGGGAGTTCCTTGAGAAACAGGAAAAGGTCGCCAGCTTCGGGCCAGAAGTTGGTTAGAGCCGCAAGGATTTCTGGGAACTGTAGTCTAGAGCCGGAAGGGGTGAGGCGCTGCGGCAAGTGGAAGGAGGTCCCTTAAATGACTTTCTGCCCCAAGCCGACCCACAATGCAGAGCGCACCCAGGACCCACTCTACTAGGCGTTATAACCCTCTGTGAGAATGCTAGACTGTTTAAATCGTCATTTTTGCCTTCGTCCGTGGAGGAGCCACATACTGTATGATTGCATTTATATGAAATATTTAAAATAGGCAAATCTACGGAAAAGGAGTAAGAGTTTTTTAGGACTAGCAGGATTAGGGGAACTGTGAGTGGTAATAGCTAAACGGTTTCTTTTTGGGGTAATGTAAAGCTTCTTGAATTAGATAATGATGTTTGCACAACTTTGAATACTCTAAGAATGACTGAATGGTACACCATAAACGAGCTAATGATATGATTTGTAAATTATATTTGTGTGCATGTCTTTTAAAAATCAACTTTACTGAAGCATAATTTAGATACAATAAAATGCCCTCATTTTAAGTGAAACGTTTGATAAGTTTCAACGAATGTTTAAATCCTTGTCACCGCCATCATAATCAGGATATAGAACATTTTTAAAAATTAAAAAAAATTTTAAGCTTTTTAGTTAAATTTCTGTGGGTATATAGTAGGTGTATATATTTATGGGGTACATAAGATTTTTGATTGTTTTGATACAGGCATGCAATGCGTACGAATCATATCATGTAAAATGGGGTGTCTATCCCCTCAAGCGTTTATCCTTTGTGTTACTGGATATTTAATTTTTTAATTTTTTTTATTTTTTGAGTTGGAGTCTAGCTTTGTCACCGAGGCTAGAGTGCAGTGGCGCGATCTCGGCTCACTGCAAGCTCAGCCTCCCAGGTTCAAGTGATTCTCCTGCCTCAGCCTTGGGAGTAGCTGGTATTACAGGCGTCCGCCACCATGCCCGGCTAATTTTTGTGTTTTTAGTAGAGACAGGGTTTCACTGTGTTGGCCAGGCTGGTATAGAACTCCCGACCTCGAACTTCTGACCTCGTGATCCGCCCGCATCGGCCTCCCAAAGTGCTGGGATTACAAACGTGCGCCACCACGCCCAGTGCATACAGAATATTTTTATTCACCGCCCTCCGCCCCCCAGATTGTTAAGTCGATTCCCACCTCCCCATCCCTGTATCAGGCATCTATTGACTATTCTAAGGAATGAGCAGTAGTATCAAATTATGTTTTTAATTTGCATTTCCTGATGTCAATGAACTTAGCATACTTTCATATACTTATTTGCCATTCTTTTATCTTCTTTTGTGACATCTATTGAAAATATTCGGCCGGGCGTAGTGGCTCGGGCCTGTAATCCCAGCACTTTGGGAGGCTGAGGCGGGCAGATCACCTGAGTTCGGGAGTTCGAGACCAGCCTGATCAAACTAGAGAAACACTGTCTCTACTAAAAATACAAAATTGGCCGGGTGTGGCGGTGCATGCCTGTAATCCCTGCAGGAGAATCACTTGAACCGGGGAGGCAGAGGTTGCTGTGAGCCGAGATCACTCTGTTGCACTTCAGCCACAGCAACAAGAGCAAAACTCCATCTCAAATAATAATA